GGACAGGGGATGGATCTGTGTGAAGCAGTGGTTCTCAACCAGGGGTGATGTCGTAGCTCCAGGGCACCTGCGGCAATATCTGGGGACATTTTTGGTTGCTACAACTTGGGGGGAGGACAGCACAGCTGGCCTCTAGTGGTAGAAAATGGGGATACTGTTAAATATCCCGCAGTGCACAGGACAGCCCCTCACAACAGAAAACTATCTTGTCCAAAATGTCAGGAGGGTCAGTCAAGGTGGGGACCCTGCTGAAAAATGACCTGGTTAAGGTCTGTGCATTACAGCGCCACCTTCAGCCAGGCATCCATCCAGTATCGCTTGACTTGGTTTTTAACAATTTGCTTTACTCTATTGTGTGAATGTTTATTTGAGGTACCAAGTGCTTTCTGTCCAAGCAAACAGGAAAACAAGCAGACAAAGAAAAACACAGCTCACATCCCTCTCCAATTTATCTCCAAAGTACCTAGCTGGGGGTTGAAACCACAGATGGGCTGCCTTCCAAGCCACGCATTTTCCAAGATTGTAGGAGGACCTGGTTGATTCACTTTTCAAACTTGAAAAATGAGGCATATTAACAAAGCACACTAAATGAATCAGCTGCTTGGGATGATCTACAAGCCAGTTCATTTTCCTGTTATTAAATAACAAAGCATGAATCTTGACAAATGAACCCCCTCGTTTGACATTATTTGAAAAACTCAGAACATGCTTGCTTCTGATGGTCACTTCCCCTTTGAAATTAAATTTAAGGTGAACTTCATTTAAATTCTGATGGGGGGTGGTGTTTGTGAACCTTCATTTGACTGTTTACTGTTTATCATCATTGGTCTTTCCATCTCCCTTTGTCCTTGGACAGGCCAGAGCTCCCGGCAGGACACCATCCTGCAGAGTTTTCTGCAAGGAGGGATTTTGTGTTTCTCGGTGCCCCTACCATGAAGAGGCAAGGTTCTGTGCGAGCATCCTGGGGAGCTGTGTGGCTTTTGCAGTCAGGCTCCCTAGGATCAAACTGGGGTTCCAGCTGTGCGACCTTGAGAAGGTCATTGGCCCTTTCTCTGCCTCAGTTTTCTCATTTGTAAACCGCGAAAAGAATGATTTGCCTCCTTGGATTGTTCTGTAGATAACATATAACATGCTCAGCAAGCAGATGGCAAATGTTACCTATAATTATTAGAATCATTAAGAATAGCATCTTCCAAAATGGATGCTAAGTCATTTTATTTAACTCCCTAAAGAGGACGCTGGTGCCGATCAGCTGATTTTAGCAGGGCTGACATGTGATTAAGGGGCTTTTGCCCTCGTGTCAGAATCCCTAACAGACCCTTCCAGCAATGCCACCATGAATAAAAAACATCTAAGAAAAATCTGCTTACTCCCCAAGCATATGCAGCTTTGAGACAAGCTCTCTATCCCCCTCCTCAGTGGAGCAGCATCTGAAGCCCCTTTTCTGAAAGTGTGCTCTTGCTATCACTTCTAACAAGCTGACACTGCAAATTCCCAGCAGGGCCTTGCTCTGGTCCAGCTCAGTAACAGTGTTCTGTAGCCCCAGACTGTAAGTCCTCACCCTTCCTAAAGAGGATTGATAAAGTGTGACTTTGAGGTGGCAAAGCCAATTTTATCTGAAGGAAATAATTTTTTTTTTCTAACATTTTAAAGTGTCTTTTTAGTGCCTCAAAATGATTTAAATGTTAATCAATGATAAAATTGCAAATCCATCTAAAAACAAAGAATTAAGAATGGAATCAGAACCACTTTTAATCAACAAAGTGGCTGCTCTGCCCCACTGACCCTTAAGGTTATTGACACTCCTCGTTTTCCTTTTTTTAAAGATGCTGTGGTTCAGTCATTTGTCTTTGGTAGCCAGAGTGTGCAAAATCTCTTTTGCTTTTCACAAATTCATTCATTTAAGCCTGTGCACTTGTCAGATATTCTGGGAGACTTCTGCCAACGTTTTGTTGATTAAAGGGTATGTATTTTGAAAATGAGTACAGAGGAAGGAATTTATAATTCTTTAAACAAAAGAGATTTATAATGTAGGCTGCTACCTGAATCATTCAGTATATCAGTGGATAAATGAGAATATCAAGGATTCGAAAGAGTGTTGGCCCTGGGTCTTAAAAAACTGTGCGTTCATTGATTCAATAAGACTGAGAAAGCCTACATCTTTCAGTAGAATTTCTAGAACTTACAAACAAGAATAGGACATAGAAAACCACTCTTCACTGTATGTATTTTTCAAAGGTTTTTAGAAATACATCTCTCTCTACAAGAATCTGGTGCTGCTACTTCTGTTTTTAAATTATATATATCTCATTTCCATGCATACAACTTCTCTCTCCTTATTCCCACTTTGATTCATTTTTGACCATTTTGTTTTAATTTTTCCCAGTGAATACAGTGTGCCCTTTGGAGGGCACTTTTATGGTGTTAAGCACCATGCAATTTACTAAATGGTGTCTAGTTATGGAAATGCTCGCAAAGACCCCTGGGGCGAAAAAAGAATTCAGTCAACACAGATTGATCACCCTGTAGTTGATGCTTTCTTACTTGATCAGCCAGGGACTCACTTGGTCTGAACCGGACCATCTGATCTGTGATATGTAAAGCTGGAGACATTTTTCTGGCTCCCTAGTGGTTTTAAAGGTTCTGCAATGAGTATGGTGCTTTAAACAAAGCCTCATTTTAAAGGAAGCCTGAGTACAGAATGGAATTCAAAGAATTTGGAGAGGGGGGAGGTGAAAGTAGTAAGAAACAGCCTGAAAAGAGCTGGGAAATTTAAAAGACTAGCCCACAGGAGAGAAATCAAAAATAAATCCCGTCTGTCTGGTTGTGAGACACACTGACCAGAATGCAGCTTCAACCAGGCCACGTTAAGCACCTACTAAGTGCAGGGCTTGTAAATGGAGAGAGCTTACATGTTCCTGGGTGTTTGAGGCACGAAGTAGAATTCGTAGGTCAAGAAGGAATTTTTTTTTATCGGCCAGGAAACTTTATTCAGCTTTATGCAGATATGACATTCCAAAAGAAAATGAATAGTTGTTATTTTATTCAAATGTTGAGAACAGAAAGCATTCTCCCGTGTCATTCACTTTCAAATTCTATGCTAAGTATGTTGCTTATAGATTAAGTCATACTGAAGAAGTGGTTGAATGCAGCTAACACCAAGGCTTCCAGGATGGGTACTGTAAGAATGACAGCGAGGCAGAAAGCAAGGTGTCTTTGCAATAAGTCGCTGTGCAGGGAACGGAGAGCAAAGACCCAAGGGAATCAGCTATATCCTTCCTTCCCATATCCAAGAGGCCTTGTCTTAGAGCCAGCTGGGAAGAGAGACTAAGGCACATCTGAAATCTTGGAGGGTGTAACATGGATTATTATAGCAAGAAACAAGACCAGACAATGCCTCCTTTCTTTATGGGCCAAGTGCTGTGATCACTCAATTTTTATTGTGCGGGGGTGTAGCTGGAGTGTTTAAGAAACCCCTACTGGCTGTTGGATCGGTACTCACCTCTCACCCCTGATAGAGTAGCTGATGAATATTCAGGTTAGAAGTCTCCAACGTGTCCCCACTGGAATCATGATGGATGCATTCACTGTATGTTTATATAGCATTCTAGATGATAGTTGAGAGAATCTAGGATAGATTTAAAGGTTAAGATCACTGGGACTTCCCAAGTGGAGCTAGTGGTAAAGAACCCGCCTGCCAATGCAGGAGATGTAAGAGACACGGGTTTGATCCATGGGTTGGGAAGATCCCCTGGAGGAGGAAATGACAACCCATTCCAGTATTCTTGCCTGGAAAATTCCATGGACAGAGGAGGCTGCCAGGTTACAGTCTATGGGCTGCAAAGAGTTGGACATGACTGAGTGAACACACAAAAGACAGATATGACTCACAAATATCATGATTGCCGTTATTATTCTTGCCTTTTTGATATTGCTAACACTTATTGTGCAATTAATGATGCCCAGGAACCAGTCTATTTGCATTATTAGCTCACTGAGTTTTTGTAAAGACCCTATGACATAGGAGGTGGCTAATTTTTTCCTACTCATTTTCATGAGACTGTTGCATCTCAGAGAGGTTCAGGTACCATCCAAAGGTCACACAGCCAATAATAGACACATCAGGGACTAAAACTCAGTCGGTCAATGTATTTTCAGAACTTTTGAAGATACGCCTGTTTGAAAAGGAAATAAATAACAATGTCTGCTAATTCAGGCATACATAGGTATAAAGATCCTCACGTTGTATTTTCCCAATTCATTGAGGGTCATCTTATCATTTCCATTTTGTCATAATAGTGCAACAGGTTAGACCAATGGTTCTTTCCTGAGAAAGATTTCTCCACCCTGGAGGATACTTGGCAATGTGTGGACACATTTTTGACCCACAGCTGGGGGAGGGATGCTACTAAAATCTGGTGGGTACAGGCCAAGGATGCATGCAGTGAACAGAACAGCCCCCGCGAGAAAGAATTATGCTGGCAGTTTGTCAGTAGTGCCTAGACTTAAGACTTTGGATCAGAGTGACTCCTAGAGAAGAAAACAGTGGCTCAGTCCGCAAGCAGAGCGTTCACCATGAAGAAGCAGATTTGGGAATGGGAGAACAAGATAAAGATAGAGGCATTCATTCATTGGTAGATTCATAGCATCTCTGTTCATGGAGTGATCACAATGGAGAGTGATGTGAGGAAAACAATATGAGGACGTTTCTTTGGAGAAAAGGAGGGAACGCAGAGTAGCGGCAAAAGCAGAGATGCCTGGCTGTCGAAGGTGAGCTGGGGCAGAGCCCTGGTGCACCGGGAGGGAACCGTGCTGGGCTGATCCAGAGGCAGAGCCAGAGGGCGGGAAGGAGGAAAGGATGTCTCAGAAGTGCCCCGGAGCAGAGTGTGCGTGCGTGGATTGGAGAGGCCGAGAAGCTCGCATTGCTTTCGAGTGGCTCTGCCGGCCTGGGAATAGGGAGCTGGCTCTGTTTTTCCAGTAACAGCCTTTTCTGTTTCCAGCAGTCCTATGCACCAGCTCCCCACCCCATGGCTCCTCCCAGCCCCAGCACAAACAGCAGCAGCAACCACAGCAGCAGCAACAGCAGCGGGGAACAGTTGAGTAAAACCAACCTGTACATTCGAGGCCTCCCTCCAGGCACCACTGACCAGGACCTAATCAAGCTGTGCCAACCGTAAGTGCCCCCCGATCTCTGCGCCGTTCCCACTGCAGCCGCACCTGCCCACGTGGGGCCGGGTTTTGTACCCGATGTGTCCTGTGAGAAAGACTCTGCAGCACAAATGGGACTTGTATTTGAGATCTGAGCCTAGCTTATTCGGGGGAATGGAATTTGTTTGCCTTTTGCTTTGAAAGAGAAGGGTTTCGAGCAGAGGGACAGAGGGGTGCTGGTGAGGTGCACATATTGACTCTTGGGAAGATGAGGAGGAACTGTGGGTTTTCACACCTGTGGCCGCTGGGACTTCGCACCTTGTGGTTGGTGAGTTCTCACACCCTGTGGCTAGAGGAATCATTGATGAATCTCATGAAAGAAACTGCTTTTTTTTTCTCTTTTTTTTAAGAGAGGTATTAGTGATGGGAATCACAAAAACTCAGAAGTTGTAGATTTCAGGATGGTCACTTGCAAGCTGCAAAGCTTTTCTGGCCAGTTCTTGTTTGGTAAATATAAGTTCAGCTGGGACCAGGTAATTGGAAGATTAGAAGGCTAATCCTTTCGTATCCTTGAAAACGTCTATTTCCAAGTCCGCTAAATATATTTCTCACCAAGGCTGAGAACCACAGTCACCAAGTAGTTTTATATTTCCCAAGAAATGTGGTAGCGATTAAATGCCCTTCCAAAATGTTTTCATTCATCTACTACCTACCAACACTTATGTTATTAACTCTCTTATTTATGTGCAAGTCAATTAAACATATTTAAGTTTATCCTCCAAATAATATGAATAATGGATAATGAATTAAGAATCATACTCCTTAATTTTAGATTGCTGATTATTTTCAGAGTAGTATCAGTGCAGCTATTTGTTATTTGATTGTGCCTTAGCTGGGTATTTTTAAATTAGGGAAACTATTACTCAGTTTTTCTTTTGCTCTTTTGCAATGCTTTTACAAGAAGGTTGAGAGGATATTTATTTTGTAAATTTCCCAACCTCTAAAATATTGGAAGAGGAAAACAAGACAGATAGTATTTATTTGCCTTTGTCCTGGTTTTGAAGATTGGGAACAAATACAAAACAACAGGAAATGGCAGATTAGACAAAACAGAAATACATAACATAATCATACATAATCAGTTGACAGGGCAGTATGTAGATTAGGGAAGCTCCCCTCCCACAGGTTACTATCAACTGCCTTGATTTGTGAAAGAGGTAAGACAGAACATTGGAAAATAAATACTTATTTTAAAGCAGTTTTTTAAAAAAGAAAGATGCCAGGGCTAAGACATACAAATATGTTAGGTTTTGATCAATAAAATGTTGAAGTTGGGAATTGGTTGGTAAATCACTCAACAGTTTTTTTACTTCTTGCTACTGTTAGAAAAAACTATAAACTATTTTGAAAAATAAGGTCATTGAAGATATGAAAAATGATAGACTTTACATTAGAAGCTTCAGATGAAGAATCTCCTGGAATGGATACTGATGTGAAGAAGTAGATTGGCTATTATATTTGTGTGTGAATCTCATTCATAAAAATAGTGGTAGGTATTAAGGAAAGATTCTTTCCTACTGCTGTCTACCATTCAGAGAGCTTGTGGAAGCACAGATGTCTGGGCCCCTGAGATTGCAATTCACTAGTTCTGGGGTGGGGCCTGAGAATATGAATTTCAGCAGTTTCCCTAGTGTTGTCATGAGGCTGCTGGTTTTCTGAGAATGGCTTCTTGAATAAAAAAAAAAAGCACAACCTAAAAGTTGAAAATTGTGTTCTATTTGGTGAACTTGCTGAGGACTCAAGCCTGGGTGAGTGACAGCCTCTTAGGTAGCTCTGAAGGACTGCTCCAAAGAGACAGAGAGAAGTCAGTGATGTCCACAGAGCGTTTGCAGCAAAAACCCAGGAGTCAGAACATCAAACGATCACTGTTAATTAAAGAAAACTAGACTTCTCAAGTTAACGAAGTAGTGTTTTTCTGTGTACAGGAAAAATGCAAGAATCTGGGCTCGTGGAAATCACCCCTTGGATAGGTTTCTTACCCCAGGGTCAGTATCCTGCCGCTCTCCCTCCTGAATCCCTTCAATGTGCAGAGTCAGGGCGGCTACAGCGGCTGCTGGCTTGGTGTCCAAACATTTACTGATATGGCAGGCAACATTTTTCATCCACGTCTCTCTACAATAATATAAAGACCACTGACTATTCCTAAAGCAAGAAGTCTCACTTAATACTTGAAGGCATTGCAGGTGGAACCCTGTGTATTAAAACCTGCTTGGCCACTTTGTGATCTTGTGGCAAATTACTTACTTGTCTTTGAGCCTCTGTCTCTTCCTATATGGTTATTTCTAGGTTCCCTGTCATACCAGTGATATGCTACAGCTGCCTCTGAGTAGGGCACCTGAGCCAGTGGTTAAATATTCACAGATTCTGTACATGATTTGTTACAGTCTCGGTAGCTTGAAATCAGCCATGATGGGAGTATTCATATCACAGGAATCATCAAGGCCTGTAAATGAGGACTTCTAAAATTCTAGATATATAGTTTTTTGAGAGCTGGTTTATGAACATACACCATATAATGATGTAGCATTCTACTATGGATTTCTGTATCAATGTCCTTTTCTGCAAAGAACATTGCCAGAAATGTATAAGTGGGAAGTGTTACTAAAAGTCTGCATTGGCATTATTAACTCAGGAAGAGATGCAGTGGCATAAGAACATTATGTTTGAGGGAAAAAAAGTTTTTTCATGTTTCTTCTGTGCATTTGACAAACATAAAGAATGCTAAGGGCACCAAGCGTGATGGTTGCTTGTTCATATTAATTTTTTGCTGGCTAATAAGATCTGGCCTATACTATTGTTATTGTAAAAATATTTGTGGGTTCTTTGGTTTACTAAAGTGGTCTGGACCTGGGGTTTGTTGCTGAAGTTTGCTTTCTTGGAGAATTTTAGAGAACTAACGTGACCAGGTAGGATAATGTGTGGGAATTAGACATGCGCTGTGAGTGTGGTATTTCACTTCTGGCTGGCCATCAGCTAGTATGTGGCCCTAGGCAAATGACTTGTTCCCCCTTAATTTTGGCTTTCCTCATATATAAAATGAGGGCTATAGTCCATGGGTCACAAAGAGTCAGACACTACTGAGCGACTAAGCACATACACAGAAAATTTATGCAGATTTTCTTTGGAATGTTTTTAAAAGTGCGAAACCCTTTAAAATGTTTTTTTAGTTGTATTAGTTTCCTTTGGCTGCTGTAATAAATTACCACAAACTAGGTGACCTTACATATCAGAAATTTATTCTCTCATGGGTGTTGTGGCCAGATGTCCAAAATCAAGGGCCATGCTCCCTCCAGGGGCTCTAGAGGAAAATCTTCCCTTGCCTCTTCCAGTTTTGGGTGGCTAATGGCATTCTTTGGGTTATGGCCACATATCTCCCTGTTCTGTCTTCACATTACCTTCTGCTCTGTGTACTGAATCTCCCTATGCCTCTCTCTTATAAGGACACTTTTGTTGTAATTTCAAGTACACTGAAATAATCCAGGATAATTTCATGCGATGAGCCTAAACTTAATTATGTCTGTAAGACCCTTTTTCCAAATAAGGTAACATTCAAAGGCTCTGATGATTAAGATATGGACATATCTTTTTGGAGGTGAACTTTAGCCCACCACAGTCTGCCTTCTGGATGCCCAAATTTATGTCGGTCCTGTGTGCAAAATATATTCACCCTACCCTAACATTTCCCAAAGTCTCAAACCTAAAGTTTAAACTCGCATCCAAACGTCATCAGTTCAAAAGTCCCAGGTCTCATCTAGATCATCTAAATCAGCAACAGGTGAAAACCCTGGGGAAAAATTCCTTTGCATCTATGAATCAGTGGAACAAGACATCCACAGGGCTCCTGCTTCCAAAATGCAGTGGTGGGACAGGCATATGATAATAGTTACAGACATTCCTATTCCGAAAGGAAGAAAATGGAACAGATATAGAAAGGAGTTCCCTGTCCTGGTGATTTTAAGGATTTGGCCAGGCAGAGTCCCCTTCCCTAGTGGCTCAGATGGTAAATGTGAGAGACCAGGTTCGATCCCTGGGTTGGGAAGACCCCCTGGAGGAGGGCATGGCAACCCCCTCCAGTATTCTTGCCTGGAGAGTCCCGTGGACAGAGGAGCCTGGAGAGCTGGGGTGGCAAAGAGTCGGACACCACTGAGCGACAAAGCACGTATATAAAATAATGAGTTTGTACCTGATAAGTTTTTAAATTTATTTTTTAACTTTCTGTTTTCTATTTGAGTATAGCCAGTTAGCAATGTTGTGATAGTTTCAGATGCACAGCGAAGGAACTTAGCCGTAGATACGCATGTGTCTGTTCTCTCCTAAACTCCCCGCTCCAGGCTGCTGCAGGACATCGAGCCGTTTCCTGTGCTGTATGTCTGTGCAGACCTATACAGGCCCTTGCCGGTTGTCCATCTGACATACAGCAATGTGTTCAATTCCATCCCAAAGGCCCTGACGACCCCTCTCCCTCATCCTTCCCCCGGCAACCTAAGTTCCTTCCCTAGGTCTGCCAGTCTGTTTCTGTTTTGCAAATATGTTCATTTGTATCATTTCCTTTTAGATTTCACATTTAAGGGATGTCATCGGATATTTCTCCTTCTCTGTCTGACTTTCTCAGTATCTCTAAGTCTAATGTTGCTGCAAATGGCCTTATTTCATTCTTTTTAATGGTATACATGATAATCTTTTATTTTTTTAGTTTAAAATTCTGAGAGTTCATTGAGGCTCTCATTAGTTAGCAGTAAAACCCACTCTGGCCACCGTTCACCAACTCCCGTTTGCAGTGTTGGCAGAGCCACCGCCTGAGCTGGTTCGCCTGCCTGAGTGTGACCTGAGGGCTGGGGGTGCCTTTGCTAGTGACCCTTCCAGAGCACTTGTAAAATCCTGGTTTCCTCTCCCGCAGTGGTGATCTCTAACGGTGCGCATCACTATTTCAATTAGCATTCTTCTAGAGATTCAAATTATTTTGCCTATT